TAGGACTTGCCCCAAGGGGATATCCCTGGGACATCTCTGGGATGTGCTATTTCTTCAAGAAAGGGACATCCTTGGGATGTCATTGGGCCCAGACATTTTGATATCCCTAAGATGTCCCTACTCCTTGTCTCTGGGACATCGCACTTGTCCCAAGGGGATATCTCTGGGATATCTTTGGGATATCCCTGTGCTGTGTGGGAAGTTGAAAAAGCCTGCTTGTACTTCTGATCGAGTTGAAATATATAACGTGGGGGCTGAATTTATTGCAGGGTCGGAATTAGTATCACTCGCCCTATATACGAGTTGTACATCTGTCCCTTTCCAACCAGGGTGGACCCTTCTGTCTAGTTAGTTGTCCTACAGTGGCGGCTCGTCAGGGTAGGCAGGGTAGGCAGTGCCTACCCAGTTTAAAATCAGTTCTCAAATTAATATTTTCTAATTAATTCTTCGATTAGCACAGCTGGAAATACTTTTTTCCAATGCGAGGTAATAGCAAAACAAGATAAGGCATCCCGAGTAGGTACGGCGCTGCCTGCCTACGCTGGCTAGGCTCGAATTCCCACATGTCCAATGCAGGAAGGAGAGGAGGGAGAAAGGGAAGAGAACCACAACACTGGAATGAGTGAGAGTAGGCTTGCCTACGGTGAGCAGTTACTCCTTGCGCAGGATGGAAGGCTGAGAATCGCTTGCTTACGCCTACTGCTCAGAAGCACGTGCTTGTAGAAGCCTCTGTGGTTGTCACACCTGATCAAACCTATTCTACAATATTATGCCGACTAAGGAATCATTCCGAACAGGCTTATGTCAGTCTCAGTTCAGTATTTCTACCCCTCATTCGTTATTCTCTCTGGAAGAGGCACTATTACCAAGTGATATGTGTTGTTAGACTGACAGTGCTTCGCATCCCTCGGGTGTTTTCCAATGATCGTAATGGTTGCATTCATGGAAGGTTTAAATCTTCGTCACTTTTCCTTTTAGATGCAAGTGATTTCCTTGATGGATAGTTCTGATTGTGTTAGAATTGGATTTACAATTTTTGAATGCAAAAATTCTAAACCAAGCCTATAGCCAAGGGGGGGGGGGGTTGACCCTCAGAAGAGAATGGAGAGTGGGAGGGGGAGGGGATGCTGAGCGAGGTTGAGAGAGGAGCGAATGTGCCTGCTACTATCATAGGAGGACGCTCCATTGGTCAATAGGTATAGAAATGGGGATCATATGGGTGCAAAGGAATCATTGACCGACCCCCCCTCCCACTTTTTTTTGCACCACTGCTGCCTACCCAATTTTTTTACCCACGAGCCGCCACTGTTGTCCTATCCCACCTTCTGTAATATACTCTTGTTCCTTTCGTTTCGTATTTCGTTACAGATTTTACCAGTACATAAAAATAGGTGTCAGATTATAATTAACAGCACACAAATAAGAAAACGTCAGGAACGCTGACAAAGGAAAACTTTCACTTTCCAATAATTTAGCTCAAAAATGGCCCATGATACACAGTATTTATTATCCAACCCCAAAAGCAACAATCATGAAGGCATACACCAAAGGCAGTGCAATAAATGCAGTAAGCAGCTTTTGCAAAATTAATCTTCCCTTTCCTCATTTTCCTTCGAAGGGTGAAACAAGTCTTCTTCAAAATTAGCACTGTTGGGATCTGGTTCAATTTGTATAGCTCTTGGCAGCATTTCTAGCACATTCCTGAGTGGAAGCAATAGACTCTTGCTGCATTAAGGAGTCGATCCAACAGACCATTTTCTGTCTCCTCTCTGTCTTCTGTCTTCCAAGCTTCCTTCACAGTTTCCGTGCCTGTTTTAAATGCGACTCTCGTAGCCGCTTTCACCGTGCCATCAGTGAAAAGCTTGGAAACATTTCTAGCTACGTGGGTGGAAGCACCTCCAAAAGCTCCTGTGAGAAGGCCTTCCATCATCGACTTGGCGACCAACTCAGGGCTGACTTCTCTTTTCCTCATGGCAGAGACAGCGCCACCCACCGCCCCCGAAGAACCACCAGTACCTGCTCGTATTATGAACTTGATTACACCCAAAGTTCCTTTGTATAGTGATCCTCCAATCTTGTTGATGCCTCCCGTTGCGGCTCCAACTATGAAGCCAGCAATTATGACTTCCAACAGGTTTTCATCTGTCGTACGTTCTCCTCTTACTTTTTTCTCAAAAGGAATAGTTACTAAAGAGGAGCCTGCGCCGATGAGGCCTCCGCCTATTATCCCACCTCCAAATCCGCCGGTGACGACAGTGAAGGCAGCCCCAACTGCAAAAAAAGTGAATAAGATACATATAATATAATATAAACAATGTGAAATACCACATGCTGCAACTTTTCATAGTAAGTCATTGCAAGCTGAATACATTTGCAAGCCAGACAATATTAACTTTAGTTTTTGAATTTGCTAGAAATTTTATCATTGTAAACTTGGAATAGATGTAAGCTTACCAGCAATGTAGAAAGTTCCTCCAACGATTAATCCCAACGCTTTCCCAAATGTTGCCTTCTTAGATTCTTGACAAGTGCATGTGCACCATCCCCTTCCTACACACATGTGTCTGTAGTCGTAGTTCCTTTCGCATCTGTTTCTCTGGCACGCTGAGCATTTCCCCGTTCCCCATTCCCCTAACTTCGTATCAAGAACCTAAATAATAGTAGGGGCATTCAATTTTAGCTCATTCCGTCTGTTTATTACCTTCCACCATTCTAGGGCCTCGATTCTGTGATCCTGGAAGCATTGGTGAGCCACCTGCGAGGTGTGTCTCGTATCATTGTCCTGCTGAAACGCCACCTCTCTCACTTCCAGCCAGTCGAGCTCAACTGTCTTGAGCAATTAGTCCTCGATAATGCTTGTATACACTTTGGCATCTATTCTTCCTCATATTTGACACCCATATGCAACTCCTGGCGTCATGTAGACCCAAAAGGTCAGGACCACCCCACTATACTTGCGTGTTCCCCTCACATGCCGACCTGCTAGGGCCTCGACAGCTTGTGGAATTCGTCTACCATCGGAAAGATTCGACCACAGAGGACTGGAAACGTATAATTCAGTCAGACAAGACCAAAATCAACCTTATGAAGTCTGATGGGCGTGATTGGATATGGAAACAGCATGGCAAAGCCTTAACAGAGTGGCTTGTCAGAGAGGCGTTGCAAGAATGGTCTACCATTTTTGTTTGGGGTTGTTTTCGGGCTGCATGACAGCCAAGAGTGTCGGATATGGATGTCAAATTCAAAGAAGAAGGATACGTGTGAAGGCATATACATGCATCATCGAGGACGAATTGCACAAGACAGTTGAGCTTGACTGGCTGGAAGTGAGAGAGGTGGTGTTTCAGCAGGACAATGATCCGAGACACGCCTCGCAGGTGGCTCACTAATGCTTCCGGGACCACAGAATCGAGAGCCTAGAATGGGCAGCAGTCACCAGACCTCAACCCAATGGAACATTTGCGGTTAAGACTTGAAGCGAAGACTAGCTGTGCATGAAAATGAATCAATCAGCATCCACAAGTTGTGGCGGCGGGTCACAACAGAGCCGGATGCCATTATTGTCCAAATATGCTTGGACTTGATCGAAAGCATGTCTAGAAGGGTGCTGGTAGTGCTGAAGGCCGAAGGCGACTACACAGAGTATTGATAAATTCGAATTTCTGTATCTCCGAGACTGAGGGACAAAACAATGGCATGGTCATTGACATGGCTGACTTTGAACAGCTGCAGCTCAGCCAATATGAGGGCAGTTACACGCAGTTGACTGGCACCAATCAAAAGCCAGGAAGTAGGAGTTTGATGGACTGAAATTTAAGTTAAATTGAACACATCATAATTGGGTTATGAGTCCTCAACTGGAACTGTGTCAAACATTGACCCAGTTTTGTCCCTCACTGTATTTCCTAGTCCCTTCAGTACTTGATACTTGACACTCATCCAGTCCGCCACCCTTGGCACCTGGAGACACTGGTAGAGGAGCGATAAGAGTTCAGTGGCACCTCAGAATTGGTCCTTAAGTTTTTGCTCTAGGCCTGCAAGTTCATTGCCAAAAGATTGTCCCCCACATTATATTAATACTTCCAGATCTAAGAAAAGTACTTGCCTGTTGAAGGTGAAACCTCATGGACTCCACATTTTGGATAGAGGTATGAAGTCCCAATGGTACTTAGTGAACGTATGTCGCATGGAAAGAAGATGAGTGTGGGATGTTTGTATGGTATATATGTGCAGGAACTGTCTCTGACCCTAAAAACATGGCATCCCCATGGGTTCCCTTCTTTGACTATCCAGTCTAGTTATACAAAGTATGTACACGTACGTGAAAGAGAGATTGACAATAGGTTCCTACCAGTGAGGAAGGAGCCGGAGAAGACGAGCCATCGTTGGAGACGAGCTGGAGACGTGCACGCCATTGAACTGAAAGCCGGTGAAGTACAAACCCCACCAAAATGGAATCCAGAATCCACGTCCACATAGGTTCAGGAGGTCCTCAGAAACGTGCACAAGTGCCAGAAAAAGTGCTTGAACCTTCAAAGTTCGGGAAAAAAATGTTTTTCAACCCACTGTTTATTAGTGACTATTATACTCCATGGCCAAATCTCTGCACTCATGATGCATGATGATGGCTCCCAAAGTCAGACTTTGCGCGAAGTCTGACTTAACTGAGGCAGTGAAACTGGTCCTGGCCTCGACACCTTTCACGGCTCGCATTAGAGACCTGAGTGGTGGACTTAGGCCTAGTTTATCATAGACCGCATATGCAACTGAATAAAATTTTAAGAATTATACCTAGGTATATATAGTAACTACGGACACCCTGTATATCATTTGAAAGGTTGTCCTTTGTTGAACCCAAGCTCAAAAATGCCATTAATATTTAATAATGAGCACCAGTCTGAATGGCTTCTTTAAATTATTTTCCTTCCTATTCTATTCTACATTTCGAGAGCTCTTACAGAAACCTTTTCACACACATTTGTCTTCGTCACACCTACAGTCATACGCGTACTGAGGCCTATTTAATTGTGCTGCATAGTTTAAACGTTTTAATTTTTCGAAGCGAATGACTCCATGACAAAATATTTTGGCACCCTCACCCAAGATAGCTCATTTTAGAACAAGGACTAAAAATAAAATGCCTGAGTCCAAGAAAGGACATAAGATCCAGATGAGGAACTAGAACGCAGACAGGAGCTGCGTTCTGATTGGCTGATTGGCCGGCGACGGTCTGTCGCTAGACGCACGTCCCTTTTCTCGCTTCCTGCCATGCAGGCACTCACCACAGTGTTGCCCCGCTCTCAGGGACCAAAAGCTACTCAAACACTACACACGTGCATGGAACGTCCCTCATGCATGAGTATCGAAGTCAACATGTGGAAAAGTGTCTGACTCATGTGAAAAACACTGTAATGAGTGAGACACTGTGAGGTGAGTCACACCCAGGAAAGCAAGGCGCGTTCGTGCTTCCTTCCCTCATCCTCAACTTCCCTGACTGCTGCCAACCCCATCAGGACACAAGGACAAATAACCCGCGACGAACATTGACCACAGTGCTTGCCAAAGAAGGCTAAGACATCCAGGCCCAATGGGGGATTGTGAACTTCTCTGCTTCTTCTGCTCTTTCACATCGTACCAAACGTGTGTATGAGTATTAAAAGAATAACACTCCTGACTTCATATGAGAAAATCAGTGGCCTTCCTGTTCTCCAGACTTAAACCCCCTCGACTACAGCACATGGGACAATTGAAGGAGCCAATTCACACCGAATGTAACACCCCTTTTACATTACTTGCTGAATTTAAGGCTTGAATTGAGGAATTGTGGATTCTTGTCTATGACAGCACAAGAGCTGGACGTAATCACAATGAAGTCTCAGTCTATACGAACTCTGAAGAGACTCGGACCAGAGAAGAAGGAACGCTAGTCAAACTGGTACGGGCTCACGCCGATGGAATCGAAAAGGGTCGGGCTTGGGCCAAAAGAGGAGTAACGCCAGTTTGGTAGAGGAGGACTCGGGCTGATGTAAGCGAATACGGGCTGGGCTCGGGCCCGAAAATCTCGGCCCACCTCATCTCTACTATGCAGTACTTTCAGGCAAGAACAAGTCTCAACTCGTACTCTTCAGCCTCAGGCTATACACGCCTTCCATGCCCTTGATAATGAATGGTGTTCTATTAAATTGTCTTAAATAACTCATACTTATACACAACTTAAGACAAGCGGCTACGTTTTTCGATATCCAGTTCGGGAACCTCGACTTCGCCTTGGTCCCAGAACCTGGATATCGAATTAAAACTCGCCAGCTTGCCTATCGGTGTGTAAGTGAGGCCCGTTTCGGTCATCTGACTCCCTCCTCTCATGTAACTTGTAATTCTCCAAGTCGCTGACTCACCCGAGAAAATCAAGGGCATGCAAAACACTCACAAGACAAACAACGACAAGTGGGACACTCACGCACTCGCACTTACACCAACAAGAATTGCTGTTGTCTATTGCATGCCCTCCACCCTTGGCGCTCCGGAGCTTAGAGTGGAGTGTATAACAAGTGGAGACATCGTGGAGTGGGGGGAGGGGAATCTAATTATTACTGATACATCTGGTGGTTTGTTATCAACAACATTTGCATGAGACGTGTTTCCTGGAAGCGAATCGGGAATTGACTCATTCACCCCCTAGGGATCACTCAACATAACACAACGCGACCACAGGCAGGCTTTAACAAACGACCAATCACAATCAGTCGAGCTACACCAACCGCATGCACTCAAATTGACGTCAGGAATACTGTCATGGGGCGTGTCTTTTTCTCCAGCCACTAACAGCTGCTGGCGAAAAAGACCCATTGGCTAGGCATGATCACGTCATTGAATGACGTCACTCTTGGGGAAGCAGCTGGCAGCGAAACATAGCGAACTATGGGAGCGCTGAGCAGCCTAGTGTAACGCAGGCGTAGTTGTCTGTTTCTGCAGGCAACCACCTGCACTGGGTCCGTTTCAGGCGTTTGAAATAAGGGAACAAGGAAAAGACGGGAAAATCAAGTTCCTCAATTCCAACATCACAACTTAGTAACTCTCAGTATAGGGAATGCTTCAGGTATTGACTTCCGACAGTTTAGGTATCGAGAAACGGGCGCTCGGCCATCAACATAAACCACTTAGGCCCTATCAAGAAGATGTGGCGCTCAGCCTTCCACATAGAGTTCACTTAGGGCCTAACGCACAGAGGAATACGACACTCGGCCTTCTACATAGAATTCAGCAGTTTCTCGGCGCTCGGCCATCTACAAAGAATTCAACAGTTGCAACAATCACATAAGGTTTCTCAGGGAGAATAAGTGGACCGGGCACTCAGCCTGAACGTAAGAGTGAAGGTTACCAGGACAAAGCACCAGCGCTCCAAGGCAAAACTCCGTCTCCCAACATCAGGACCAAGTCAAGAAGTGGTTTTCATTTGGTCCGTCTTCTCGCTAGCTCAAATAAAAATCAGGATGTTAAAACTTTGCTGAAAGAGCCATACCGATGGAAGTGCAGAGAAAGGAGAGGATCTTTTCGGGACGAATCCCAGATGCGGGGAGCGAGGGAGGGTCAGATGCGATGACAGAAAAACAGCAGGAAGACAGTCGTGCCCGAATAGGGGACCAGCGAAGCAGCGACCCAGAGGCGAAACGGAAGACGACTGCCCCACCAACAGGACGTCTTTTTGCGACGGAGACTGTAAAGTAGGGATGCTTGACCCTATTTTGAAATGCCCATACAACCGCATGTGCAAGCCTATTCAAAAGGTGTGACATTCAGCCTGCAACACTGGAATGCACCCTATGATTCTTGTGGCATCAGCTCATGTGAAACACCCGACAGGACATCGTCTGCTATAGATGTTACACTAGCCCCAACATGACGTCATGGGATGCTGGAGGCCTTAGCAGAGCTAGCAGAGCCGCTAGGAAAAAAGACAAGCCCATGGGGTGTGCTTTTTTGCTAGGGCTCAACTAACTCTGCTGAGACCTCCAGCAACAGATGACTTCATTTTAAGGCTTAGCTGCTCAGCTTTCTCATAGTTCGCTGTTCCGCTCAGCAGCTTGCCCAATAGTGACCTTATTCAATAATGACATCACTCATCCGTTCCTAGCCAATGCTCTTTCTCTCCAGCAGCTGCTAATGGCTAGAGAAAAAGACGTGCATATTGCATCTCTTATTTTTCTGCTTGATAGGCAGTGTCTATTCAGCACAGAGTCATAACAAGTCTATGACGAACCTTCTAGATATTTGAGCCTTCATTTAGGTATTAATATCCCCCCCCCCCCCGACTGTTGCAGTATAGGCCTATCCAGATCTTCAGGAAAAACATGGAACCCCGTAGGCTTCTGATGTTACTTCTTATAATTAAAGGTGACTAGAGGTTCCGGTTCTACTGGGACAGTCCCAGATTTTGCTGACCATGTCTGGGTTTGAATTTTCCTGTTATCATGGGTATGTATTTATGTATGTATGCATGCATACACACCAGAATTGGAAAAGTTAGAAGAAAAAAAAGTAATTTGTTATTCAAATAAAAAATTAATCATATAAAGAAAACAGTAATAAAAACATGATTCATGCAGGTCAACATAATTCTACCTTAAGTATTAAAATATAGAATATAAACAATATATTGTTTGTATTGTACCATTGGAATATAGGAGACACCAATATAATTTTAATGCCCTTTTTACATTTTTAGACAAATGAAAATATTCTACACAGATTTTTCTATGAATCCTCCTCCACAGCTGAACCATAAAAAGGAATGGCTAAAACATGATGCAAGAGGAAGGAAATAAGGGACTATACAACCTTCTAATAGCAACAAAGCATAAGAATGCTCAAAGGCAGGGCAGTCCTCTGCTTCACAGTTGTGGTCCTCATTGTGGGTGGTTCTTGAAATTACTTCAGCCTCACCATGAACTGCTTTGACTATGGATTCTTGTTCCCTGGAGGACGGTTTATTGAGAGACGCTTCACTTCTCGTAATCTTGTTTGCTTTTGTGGAGTGGAATCTAATTTGAGAATGCTGCCTTTTGTTTGCAGGTTGAGATGGATGCGATGGAGCTGGGAGCGGGTGAATACTTAGTTGATGTTTCAGGGCATCAATTAGGGCCAGTGCTCCCCTTAATTTCTGATTAACAGCAGCATTCCATCCTTGGAATTTCCCTTAACTAAACTCTGAGCATGGCCAACAATGGTGCTAGTCAACCTTTCCAGTTCACAGAGTTCTTCCTGAATGTCATTCCTGGGAGATCTACATTCAACTCTAAGGTGCACTTTAATCTCATTGTCTGCTGTGCCAGGGAGTGAAGGACGGAATCCATCTGTGGATACATTCACCTCCATTATGACTAGAGGAGAGCCACAGAGTTCTTCAGAGCTGAGGAGTTCTGGTTCCACCAATCCCTCTGCTCCTCCACAGGCGCTTGCAGTATAATTTAATGCAGCAGCACCTGCATCGTGTACAACTAGATGAATATGTTTGCAAATGGTGTTTCTCAAAGAGAAGTCTACACAACTGCATGAGAATGTGCGAACACAAGACATTGCAATCTCTTCATTGTAG